AGCCCGAGCACCCCAAAATCCCCAAACACACCCCAGAAACCCCAAAACACCAAACACACCCCAAACCCCCCTGTCAGCACTGATCTACTGCCTGCGGTGCCTGGGGGGGCACGACATCCCCCTCAACCAGGTGGGACCCCAAAATACCCCAAAAATACACCCCAAATACACCCCAAAACCAGCCTGGGCACCCCATAAACCCCAAACACACCCCAGAAACCCCAAAACACGAAACACACCCCAAACCCCCCTGTCAGCGCTGATCTACTGCATGCGGTGCCTGGTGGGGCACGACATCACCCTCAACCAGGTGAGACCCCAAAAATACACCCCAAAAACAGCCTGGGCACCCCAAAAACAGCCTGGGCACCCCAAAAAACCCCAAACCCCCCTGTCAGCGCTGATCTACTGCCTGCGGTGCCTGGTGGGGCACGACATCCCTCTCAACCAGGTGGGACCCCAAAATACCCCAAAAATACCCCAAAAATACACCCCAAAAACAGCCCGGGCACCCCAAAACCCCAAACACACCCCAAAAGCACCCCAAATACACCCAAAACCCGCTAAATAAACCCCAAATACACCCCAAACACACCTGAACCAGGTGAGACCTCAAAAATAACCCAAATACACCCCAAAAACCCCAAATACCCTAAATACACCCCAAAACCAGCCTGGGCACCCCAAAAAACCCCAAACACAACCTGAGCACCCCAAAGGCACCCCAAATACACTCAATAAACCCAAAACATGCCAAATAAACCCCAAATACACCCCAAATACACCCCAAATACACCCCAAATACACCCTGAACCAGGTGAGATCCCCAAAACTGCCTAAAACACGCCCTGAGCACCCCAAAAACCCCAAAACAGGTGCGAGCCTGAACGCACCCCAAACATGCCCTAAAACCCCCAAATACACCCCAAAAACCCCAAATGCACCCTAAATACACCCCAAAAGCAAGCTGAGAGCCCAGGTACCCCAAATACATCCTGAACCAGGTGAGAACCCCAAAACCACCCCAAATCCACCCCGCACACCCCCAAACACCCCAAAACAGGTGAGGCCCTAAATAAACCCTAAATATGACCCAAAAACCCAAACACCCCCCAAAACCCCCAAACACACCCCAAAAACCCCAACCACACCCCAAATACACCCTGAGCACCCCAAAAACCCCAAATACACCCCAAAACCCCAACCACACCCCAAATACACCCTGAGCACCCCAAAACCCCCAAACACACCCCAAAAACCCCAACCACAGCCCAAATGCACCTGAACCAGGTGAGATCCCAAAACCACCCCAAACACACCCCAAAAACGCCCAAAACCCCAAATCACCCCAAACCAGGTGAGACCCCAAATGCCTCCAGCACCCCCTCCCTGGGCACATCAGGTGTGCCCAGCTGTGTGCCCAGGTGTGCCCAGGTGTGCCCAGGTGTGTGCCAGGTGTATCCCAGGTGTGTGCCCAGGTGTGTCTGTGGTTATCTCCAGCTGTGCCCAGCTGTGCCCAGCTGTGCCCCCAGGTGTGTACCCAGGTGTGCCCCCAGGTGTGTGCCCAGGTGTGCGCAGCTGTACCCAGGTGTGCCCATGTGTGCCAGGTGTGCCCAGTGTGCTCAGGTGTACCCAGGTGTGTGCCCAGGTGTGTCCAGGTGTGCCCAGGGTGTGCCCAGGTGTTGCCAAGATCTGTGCCCAGGTGTGTCCCCAGGTGTGTCCCGGTGTACCCAGCTGTACCCAGGTGTGTGCCCAGGTGTGTCTGTGGTTATCTCCAGGTGTGCTCAGGTGTGTGCCCAGGTGTGCCCCCAGGTGTACCCAGGTGTGTGCCCAGGTGTGCGCAGCTGTACCCAGGTGTGCCCAGGTGTGCCCCCAGGTGTATCCCAGGTGTGCTCAGGTGTGTGCCCAGGTGGATCCCAGGTGTGTGCCCAGGTGGATCCCAGGTGTGTGCCCAGGTGTGTCTGTGGTTATCTCCAGCTGTGCCCAAGTGTGCCCAGGTGTGCCCCCAGGTGTGTAGCCAGGTGTGCCCAGGTGTATGCCCAGGTGTGTGCTCAGGTGTACCCAGGTGTGCCCCCAGCTGTGCCCCCAGGTGTGTGCTCAGGTGTGTGCCCAGGTGTGCACAGCTGTACCCAGGTGTGCCGAGGTGTATGCCCAGGTTTACCCAGGTGTGTGCCCAGGTGTGCCCAGCTGTACCCAGGTGTGTGCCCAGGTGTGGGCCCAGGTGTGCCAGGTGTGTGCCCAGGTGTGCCCCCAGGTGTGCCCAGGTGTGTGCCCAGGTGTGCCCCCAGGTGTGCCCAGGTGTGTGCCCAGGTGTGCCCAGCTGTACCCAGGTGTGTGCCCAGGTGTGCCCAGGTGTGCCCCCAGCTGTACCCAGGTGTGCTCAGGTGTATGTACAGGTGTGCCCAGGTGTGTACCCAGGTGTGCTCAGGTGTGCCCAGGTGTGCTCACGTGTGCTCAAGTGTGCCCAGGTGCCCCCAGCTGTACCCAGGTGTGCCCAGGTGTGCTCAGGTGTGCCCAGCTGTACCCAGGTGTTCCCCCAGGTGTGCCCCCAGGTGTGCCCCAGGTGTGCCCAGGTGTGTTTTGCCCCCCCAGGGCTGCCTGGCCCCGGTGCAGGTGCGGATCCCCCCGGGCTCCATCCTTGACCCCTCCCCCGACGCCGCCGTGGTGGGCGGGAACGTGCTGACGTCACAGCGCGTGGTGGACGTGGTGCTGCGCGCGTTCGGCGTCTGCGCCGCCTCCCAGGTGAGCACACGGACAGGTGAGGGGACAGGGACAGGTGAGGGGACAGGGACAGGTGAGGGGACAGATGAGGGACAGGTGAGCAATAGGGACAGGTGAGGGGACAGGGACAGTGAAGGGACAGGGGAGGGGGGGACAGTGACAGGGACAGGTGAGGAGGGGACAGGTGAGGGAACAGGTGACCAACAGGGACACGGACAGGTGAGGGGACAGCGACAGGTGGAGGAGGGGCCAGGTGAGGGGACATGGACAGGTGAGGGGGGGGGCCAGGTGAGGGGACAGTGATAGGTGAGGGGACAGGTGAGCGACACAGATGGGTGAGGGGACAGGGACAGGTGAGGGGAGGTTTTGGGCTGTTTGGGGTCAGATTTGGGGTCAGTTTTGGGCTATTTGGGGTCGGGTTTAGGGTCAGTTTTGGGCTATTTGGGGTCAGTTTTGGGGTATTTGGGGGTGACATTTTTGGGGTATTTGGGGTCGGTTTTGGGGTATTTGGGGGTGACATTTTTGGGTATTTGGGGTCGGTTTTGGGGTAATTGGGGGTGACATTTTTGGGGTATTTGGGGTCGGTTTTGGGGTATTTGGGGTCGGTTTGGGGCAACAGTGTCCCCCTGTCCCCATTGTCCCCAGGGCTGCGTGAACTGTGGGGTTTGGGCTATTTGGGGTCAGTCTTGGGCTATTTGGGGTCAGTTTTGGGGTATTTGGGGTCGGTTTTGGGGTGACAATGTCCCTGTGTCCCCATTGTCCCCAGGGCTGTATGAACTGTGGGGTTTGGGCTATTTGGGGTCAGTTTTGGGGTATTTGGGGTCGGGTTTAGGGTCAGTTTTGGGCTATTTGGGGATGACATTTTTGGGGTATTTGGGGGCCGTTTTGGGGTCAGTTTTGGGGTGTTTGGGGTCAGTTTTGGGGTGACAATGTCCCTGTGTCCCCATTGTCCCCAGGGCTGTATGAACTGTGGGGTTTGGGCTATTTGGGGTCAGTTTTGGGGTATTTGGGGTCGGGTTTAGGGTCAGTTTTGGGCTATTTGGGGATGACATTTTTGGGGTATTTGGGGGCCGTTTTGGGGTCAGTTTTGGGTGTTTGGGGTCAGTTTTGGGGTGACAATGTCCCTGTGTCCCCATTGTCCCCAGGGCTGCATGAATTGTGGGGTTTGGGCTATTTGGGGTCAGGTTTAGGGTCAGTTTTGGGGTATTTGGGGTCAGTTTGGGGTATTTGGGGGTGACATTTTTGGGGTATTTGGGGTCGGTTTTGGGGTATTTGGGGGTGACATTTTTGGGGTATTTGGGGTCGGTTTTGGGCTCAGTTTTGGGGCATTTGGGGTCAGTTTTGGGGTGACAATGTCCCCCTGTCCCCATTGTCCCCAGGGCTGCATGAACTGTAGGATTTGGGCCATTTGGGGTCGGGTTTAGGGTCAGTTTTGGGGTATTTGGGGTCAGTGTTGGGGGTCGGTTTTGGGGTGACATTTTTGGGGTATCTGGGGTCGGTTTTGGGCTCAGTTTTGGGGTGTTTGGGGCAACAGCGTCCCCCTGTCCCCATTGTCCCCAGGGCTGCAATGAACTGTGGGGTTTGGGGGGTGACATTTTTGTGGTATTTGGGGTGACATTGTCCCCATTGTCCCAGGGCTGCATGAACTGTGGGGTTTGGGCTATTTGGGGTCAGTTTTGGGCTATTTGGGGTCAGTTTTGGGGTATTTGGGGTCGGTTTTGGGGTGACAATGTCCCTGTGTCCCCCACTGTCCCCAGGGCTACGTGAACAATGTCACCTTTGGCTTCCCACGGGGTTTGGGGTTTTGGGGTCGGTTTTGGGCTATCTGGGGTCCATTTGGGGTCGGTTTTGGGGTGTTTAGGGTGGCAGTTTTGGGATATTTGGGTGCCATTTTTGGGGTGTTTAGGGTCAGTTTTGGGGTGGTTTATTACGGTGACGTTTTTAATGTCCCCACTGTCCCCAGGGCTGCATGAACAACGTCACCTTCAGCTCCCTGCGGGACTTGGGGTTTGGGCTATTTGGGGTCAGTTTTGGGGTCAGTTTTGGGATATCTGGGGTCGGATTTAGGGTCAGTTTTGGGTTATTTGGGGTCGGTTTTGGGGTGTTTAGGGTGATGTTTTGTGTCCCCATTGTCCCCAGGGCTGCATGAACAACGGGGTTTGGGGGTATTTGGGGTCGGTTTTGTGGGTTTTTAGGGTGGCAGTTTTGGGGTGTTTAGGGAGACATTTTTGGGGTGTTTAGGGGTCAGTTTTGGGGGTGTTTAGGGTGACGTTTTCATTGTCCCCAGAGCTGCATGAACAATGTCACCTTTGGCTCCCCAAGGGGTTTGGGGTCATTTTTGGGGTCGGTTTTGGGGTCAGTTTTGGGGTCCAGTCTGGGGTGTTTGGGGTGCCATTTTTGGGGCATTTAGGGTCAGTTTTTGCGGTGTTTGGGGTGCCATTTTTGGGGCATTTGGGGTCAGTTCTGGGGTGTTTAGGGTGCCATTTTTGGGGCGTTTGGGGTCAGTTCTGGGATGTTTGGGGTGCCATTTTTTGGGGTGTTTGGGGTCAGTTCTGGGATGTTTGGGGTGCCATTTTTGGGGCGTTTAGGGTCAGTTTTTGGGGTGTTTGGGTGCCATTTTTGGGGCATTTGGGGTCAGTTCTGGGGTGTTTGGGGTGCCATTTTTGGGGCATTCGGGGTCAGTTCTGGAGTGTTTGGGGTGCCATTTTTTGGGGCGTTTGGGGTCAGTTTTGGGGTGTTTGGGGTCAGTTTTGGGGTGACGCTGTCTCCACTGTCCCCAGGGCTGCATGAACAATGTCACCTTTGGGTTTGGGGTCAATTTTGGGGTCAGTTCCGGGGTCAGTTTTGGGGTGTTTGGGGTGCCATTTTTGGGGTGTTTAGGGTCAGTTTTGGGGTCTTTAGGATTATATTTTCATTGTCCCCACTGTCCCCAGGGCTGCATGAACAACGTCACCTTCAGCTCCCTGCGGGATTTGGGGTTTGGGCTATTTGGGGTCAGTTCCAGGATCAGTTTTGGGGTCAGTTTTGGGGTCACTTCTGGGGTGTTTGGGGTGCCATTTTTGGGGTGTTTTGGGTCAGTTTTGGGGTCAGTTCCAGGGTCAGTTCTGGGGTGTTTGGGGTGCCATTTTTGGGGCATTCAGGGTCAGTTCTGGGGTGTTTGGGGTGACACTTTTGGGTGTTTGGGGTCAGTTTTGGGGTGTTTAGGGTGCCATTTTTGGGGCATTCAGGGTCAGTTCTGGAGTGTTTGGGGTGCCATTTTTGGGGTGTTTTAGGGTCAGTTTTGGGGTGTTTAGGGTGCCATTTTTGGGGCGTTTTGGGTCAGTTTTGGGGTCAGTTCCAGGGTCAGTTCTGGGCTGTTTGGGGTGCCATTTTTGGGGTGCCATTTTTGGGGCGTTTGGGGTCAGTTTTGGGGTGTTTGGGGTGCCATTTTTGGGGCGTTTCCGGTCAGTTTTGGGGTGTTTAGGGAGACATTTTTGGGGCGTTTGGGGTCAGTTCTGGGGTGTTTGGGGTGCCATTTTTGGGGCATTTGGGGTCAGTTTTGGGGTCAGTTTTGGAGTCAGTTTTGGGTGCCATTTTTGGGGCATCAGGGTCAGTTCTGGGGTGTTTGGGGTGCCATTTTTGGGGTGTTTAGGGTCACTTCTGGGGTGTTTGGGGTGCCATTTTTGGGGCGTTTTGGGGCCAGTTCTGGGCTGTTTGGGGTGCCATTTTTGGGGTGTTTGGGGTGCTATTTTTCGGGAGTTGGGGTCAGTTTTGGGGTGTTTAGGGTGCCATTTCTGGGGCATTTAGGGTCAAGTTTTGGGGTGTTTAGGGTGCCATTTTGGGGCATTTAGGGTCAGTTCTGGGGTGTTTGGGGTGACACTTTTGGGGTCAGTTTTGGGGTCAGTTTTGGGGTGTTTGGGGTGCCATTTTTGGGGCATTTGGGTCAGTTCTGGGGTGTTTAGGGTGCCATTTTTTGGGGCGTTTGGGGTCAGTTCTGGGGTGTTTAGGGTGCCATTTTTGGGCATTCAGGGTCAGTTCTGGGATGTTTAGGGTGCCATTTTTGGGGCGTTTCGGGTCAGTTCTGGGGTGTTTGGGGTGCCATTTTTGGGGCGTTTGGGGTCAGTTCTGGGGTGTTTGGGGTGCCATTTTTGGGGCGTTTGGGGTCAGTTCTGGGATGTTTGGGGTGCCATTTTTGGGGTGTTTGGGGTCAGTTCTGGATGTTTGGGGGTGCCATTTTTGGGGTGTTTGGGGTCAGTTCTGGGATGTTTGGGTGCTATTTTTTGGGGTGTTTGGGGTCAGTTCTGGGGTGTTTGGGGTGCTATTTTTCGGACGTTTGGGTCAGTTTTGGGGTGACGCTGTCCCCACTGTCCCCAGGGCTGCATGAACAATGTCACCTTTGGCTCCCCATGGGGTTTGGAGTCAATTTTGGGGTCAGTTTTGGGGTCAGTTTTGGGATATTTGGTGCCATTTTTGGGGTGTTTAGGGTCAGTTCTGGGGTGTTTGGGGTGACACTGTCCCCATTGTCCCCACTGTCCCCAGGGCTGCTGAACAACGTCACCTTCAGCTCCCTGCGGGATTTGGGGTTTGGGCTATTTGGGTCAGTTCCGGGATCAGTTTTGGGGTCAGTTTTGGGGTCACTTCTGGGGTGTTTGGGGTGCCATTTTTGGGGCGTTTTGGGTCAGTTTGGGGAGTTTGGGCTGCCATTTTTGGGGCATTTGGGGTCAGTTTTTGGGTGACGCTGTCTCCACTGTCCCCAGGGCTGCATGAACAATGTCACCTTTGGGTTTGGGGTCAATTTTGGGGTCAGTTCCGGGTGTCAGTTTTGGGGGTGTTTGGGGTGCCATTTTTGGGGTGTTTAGGGTCAGTTTTGGGTGGTCTTTAGGATTATATTTTCATTGTCCCCACTGTCCCCAGGGCTGCATGAACAACATCACCTCAGCTCCTGCGGGATTTGGGGTTTGGGCTATTTGGGTCAGTTCCGGATCAGTTTTGGGGACAGTTTTGGGGTCAGTTCTGGGGTGTTTAGGTGCCATTTTTGGGGTGTTTTGGGTCAGTTTTGGGGTCAGTTCCGGGGTCAGTTCTGGGGTGTTTAGGGTGCCATTTTTGGGGCGTTTGGGGTCAGTTCTGGGGTGTTTGGGGTGACGTTTTCACTGTCCCCAGGGCTGCATGAACAACGTCACCTTCGGCTCCCCACGGGGGGGTTACTATGAGACCGTGGCCGGGGGCGCGGGGGCCGGGCCCAGCTGGGGGGGCCGCAGTGGGGTCCACACGCACTATGACCAACACCCGGATCACCGACCCCGAGATCCTCGAGATGAGGTGGGTCTGGGGGCTCTGGGGGTTCCTATGGGGTCTGTGGGGTTTGGGTGGGGGTCTGGGGTCTGGGGGGGTTTGGGGGTCCCACACGCACATGACCAACACCCGGATCACCGACCCCGAGATCCTCGAGATGAGGTGGGTCTGGGGCTCTGGGGGGGTCCTATGGGGTCTGTGGGGTTTGTGGGGTCTGGTGGGCTCAGGGGGTTTTGGGGTTTTGGGGGTCCCACACGCACATGACCAATGAGACGAGGTGGGTTTGGGGGCTCTGGGGGGGGTTTGGGCCATCCCAGGGGGTCCTAAAGGTCTGGGGGCTCAGGGGGTTATGGGGGGGTCCTAAAGGGTCTGGGGGCTCGCGGGTTTGGGGGCTCAGGGGGTTTGGGGGTCCCACACGCACATCACCAACACCCGGATCACCGACCCCGAGATCCTCGAGACGAGGTGGGTCTGGGGGCTCTGGGGGGTTCCTATGGGGTCTGTGGGGTTTGTGGGGTCTGGGGGGGTTTGGGGGTCCCACACACACACATGACCAACACCCGGATCACCGAGCCCCGAGATCCTCGAGATGAGGTGGGTCTGGGGGGTTTTGGGGGGTCCTATGGGGTCTGTGGGGTTTGTGGGGTCTGGGGGTCCTGGGGGGGTTTGGGGGGTCCCCACACATGCACATGACCAGGATTGCTGACCCTGAGATCCTTGAGATGAGGTGGGTCTGGGGGGTTTGGGGGGGTCCCAGGGGGTCCTAAAGGTCTGGGAGGCTCAGGGGGTTTGGGGGTTTTGGGGGTCCCACACGCACATGACCAACACCCGGATCACCGACCCCAAGATCCTCGAGATGAGGTGGGTCTGGGGGCTCTGGGGGTTCCTATGGGGTCTGTGGGGTTTGTGGGGTCCGGGGGGCTCAGGGGGTTTGGGGGTCCCACACGCACATGACCAACACCAGGATCACTGACCCCGAGATCCTCGAGACGAGGTGGGTCTGGGGCTCTGGGAGTTCCTATGGGGTCTGTGGGGTTTGTGGGGTCCGGGGGGCTCAGGGGGTTTGGGTTTTGGGGGGTCACAGGGGGGTCCTAAAGGGCCTGGGGGTTATGGGGGTCCTAAAGGGTCTGGGTTCTCAGGGGGTTTGGGGTTTTGGGGGTCCCACACGCACATGACCAATGAGACGAGGTGGGTCTGGGGGCTCTGGGGGTTATGGGGGTCCTAAAGGGTCTGGGGGCTCAGGGGGTTTGGGGTTTTGGGGGTCCCACACGCACATGACCAATGAGACGAGGTGGGTCTGGGGGCTCTGGGGGTTATGGGAGTCCTAAAGGGTCTGGGGGCTCTGGGGGTTTGGGGTTTTGGGGGGTCCCACACGCATCACTGACCCCGAGATCCTTGAGATGAGGTGGGTCTGGGGGCGTTTGGGGGGTCCCAGGGGGTCCTAAAGGGTCTGGGGGCTCTGGCGGTTATGGGGGTCCCAAAGGGTCTGGGGCTCAGGGGGTTTGGGTTTTGGGGGTCCCACACGGCATCACTGACCCCGAGATCCTCGAGATGAGGTGGGTCTGGGGGGGTTTGGGGGTCCTGTGGGGTTTGGGGGTCCTAACCCCCATTTTTTCCTCCCCCAGGTACCCGGTGGTGCTGTGGGGGGCTCTGGGTGATTTTGGGGTGATTTTTTGGGGGGTTTTACGCCGTTTTTCTGTGTCCCTCCCCAGGTACCCGGTGGTGCTGCGGCGCTTTGAGCTGGGGGCAGGCTTGGGGGGATTTGGGTTATTTTGGGGTGATTTTGGGGTGATTTTTGGGGGGTTTTGACCCTTTTTTCCCCCCCCGCAGATACCTGGTGGTGCGGTGGGGGTCTCAGGGGTCTCTGGGTGATTTTTGGGGTGATTTTTGGGTGGTTTTACCCCGTTTTTTCCATCCTCCCTGCAGGTACCCGGTGGTGCTGAGGCGCTCTTGAGCTCCGGGCGGGCTCGGGGGTTTTGGGTGATTTTGTGGTGATTTTTGGGGGGTTTTGACCCCGTTTTTCCCCCCAGGTGTCCAGTGGTGCTCGGGGGGTGATTTTGGGGTGATTTTGGGTGATTTTTGGGTGGTTTTATCCGTTTTTTCCATCCTCCCTGCAGGTACCCAGTGGTGCTGCAGCGCTTCGAGCTGGGGGTGGGCTTGGGGTGATTTTGGGTGATTTTGGTGATTTTAGGGTGATTTGGGGGGGATTTTTGAGGGGTTTTGACCCCATTTTCCCCTGTGCAGGTTACTTGGTGGTGTGGTGGGGGTCTCGGGGGTCTCGGGGTGATGGTGATTTTGGGGGTGATTTTTTGGTTGTTTTACCCCGTTTTTTCTGTGTCCCCTCCCTGCAGGTTCCCGGTGGTGCTGAGGCGCTTTGAGCTCCGGGCGGGCTCAGGGGGATTTTGGGTGATTTTGGGGTGATTTTTGACCCCGCTTTGACCCCGCTTTCCCCCCCAAGTGTCCAGTGGTGCTCGGGGGGTGATTTTGTGGTGATTTTTGAGGGGTTTTGACCCTGTTTTTTTGTCCCTTTCCCAGGTACCCAGTGGTGCTGAGGCACTCTGAGCTCCGGGTGGGCTCAGGGGGATTTGGGTGATTTTGGGTTGATTTTGGGGTGATTTTTGGGTGGTTTTATCCCGTTTTTTCCCTCTCCCTGCAGGTACCGCGTGGTGCTGAGGCGCTTTGAGCTCCGGGCGGGCTCGGGGGGCGCGGGCCGGCACGGGGCGGGGATGGGGTGGTCCGGGAGCTGCAGTTCCGGCGCCCACGCAGCTCTCGGTGCTGAGCGAGCGCCGAGCCACCAGGCCCTATGGAATGGCAGGTGAGAGACCCCAAAAAACATCCAAAATATACCCAAAAATCCCCCAAAAAATACCCAAAAACCCCCATAATCCCCTGAGCCACCAGGCCCTACGGGATGGCTGGTGAGGGTCCCCAAAAACACCCAAAATATACCCAAAAAATACCCAAAAACCCCCATAACCCCCTGAGCCACCAGGCCCTATGGAATGGTGGGTGAGAGACCCCAAAAAATCCCCTAAAAATCCCCCAAAAAAACCCCCAAAAAACATCCAAAATATACCCAAAAATCCCCCAAAAAATCCCCAAAAATCCCCCATAACCCCCTGAGCCACCAGGCCCTACGGGATGGCAGGTGAGAGACCCCAAAAAACACCCAAAAAATACCCAAAAAATACCCAAAAACCCCCATAAACCCCTGAGCCACCAGGCCCTATGGGGTGGCGGGTGAGAGACCCCAAAAAATCCCCTAAAAATCCCCCAAAAATCCCCAAAAAACATCCAAAATATACCCAAAAATCCCCCCAAAATCCCCCATAACCCCCTGAGCCACCAGGCCCTATGGAATGGTGGGTGAGGAACCCCAAAAAATCCCCTAAAAATCCCCCAAAAAATACCCAAAAATCCCCCCAAAATCCTCCATAACCCCCATAACCCCCTGAGCCGCCAGGCCCTACGGGATAGCGGGTGAGAGACCCCAAAAAATCCCCTAAAAATCCCCCAAAAATACCCAAAAAATACCCAAAAATCCTCCATAACCCCCTGGGCCACCAGGCCCTACGGGATGGCTGTTGAGGGTCCCCAAAAAACACCCAAAAATCCCCAAAAAAATACCCAAAAATCCCCCAAAAAACATCCAAAATATACCCAAAAAATCCCCCAAAAATCCCCCCAAAATCCCCCATAAGCCCCTCTGTATGAGCCACCAGGCCCTATGGAATGGTGGGTGAGGGACCCCAAAAAATACCCAAAAATCCCCCAAAAAATACCCAAAAATCCTCCATAACCCCCTGGGCCACCAGGCCCTACGGGATGGTGGGTGAGGGTCCCCAAAAAACACCCAAAAATCCCAAAAAAATAGCCAAAAATCCCCCAAAAACATCCAAAATATACCCAAAAATCCCCCAAAAATCCCCCCAAAATCCCCCATAACCCCCTGAGCCACCAGGGCCCTATGGAATGGTGGGTGAGGAACCCCAAAAAATCCCCTAAAAATCCTCCAAAAAATACCCAAAAATCCTCCATAACCCCCTGAGCCGCCAGGCCCTATGGAATGGCAGGTGAGAGACCCCAAAAAATCCCCTAAAAAATCTCCCAAAAATACCCAAAAAATACCCAAAAATCCTCCATAACCCCCTGGGCCACCAGGCCCTACGGGATGGCTGGTGAGGCACCCCAAAAAACACCCAAAATATACCCAAAAAATCCCCCAAATTCCCCCAAATCCCCTGAGCCACCAGGCCCTACAGCATGGCGGGTGAGGGACCCCCTAAAAACCCCTAAAACATCCCCCAAAATCCCCCCAAAAATCCCCCCCCAATTCCCCATAACCCAGGCCCGACGGGATGGTGGGTGATGGAATGGACCCCACACACAAAATCCCCCAAAATTCTCCCAAAATCCCCCCAAAAAATCCCAAAAATCTCCCAAATCCCCCATAGCCCAGACCCTATGGAATGGCGGGTGAGGGACCCCAAATCCCCCCAAAAATCCCACAAATCCCCCCAAAATCCCCTAAACCCCCCCCAAATCCCTCTTAACCCCCTGAGCCACCAGACCCTATGGAATGGCAGGTGAGAGACCCCAAATCCCCCCCAAAAAATCCCCTAAAAACCCCCCCAAATCCCCCATAACCCAGGTCCTATAGGCGTGCCAGGTCAGAGACCCCAGGGACCACCCCCCAAATCCCCCAAATCCCCCCCAAAATCCCCTAAACCCCCCCCAAATCCCCCATAGCGCAGGGGTCCTATGGTGTGCCAGGTCAGGGACCCCCGGGGCCACCCCAAATCCCCCAAATTCCCCCCAAAATCCCCTGGGGACCCCCTAAATCACTCACACCCCCCTCCCCCAGACCCTCGGGGGTCCCCCCGACCCCCCCAGGACCCCCCAAGCCCCCCCTGATCCCCCCATCTCCCCAGGGGGGCTCCCGGGGGCTCCGGGGCTGAATCTGCTGCTGCGGCGGGACGGGAGAGTGATCAACCTGGGGGGCAAGAGCTCGGTCTGCGTGGAGCCTGGGGTGAGCCAAAAACCCCAAAAATAACCCCAAAAATATCCCCAAAATCACCCCAAAAACTGCCCCAAAATCACCCCAAAAACTGCCCCAAACCTGCCCCAAAATCACCCCAAAAACTGCCCCAAAACCTGCCCCAAACCCCATCAACCTGGGGGGCAAGAGCTCGGTGTGCGTGGAGCCTGGGGTGAGCCAAAAACCCCCAAAATAGCCCCAAAAACTGCCCCAAACCTGCCCCAAACCTGCCCCAAAACCTGCACAAAAACTGCACTAAAATCACCCCAAACCCCATCAACCTGGGGGGCAAGAGCTCGGTGTGCATGGAGCCTGGGGTGAGCCAAAAACCCCCAAAGTAGCCCCAAAAACTGCCCCAAACCTGCCCCAAAATCACCCCAAAAACTGCCCCAAAAACTGCCCCAAAATCATCTCAAACCCCGTCAGCCTGGGGGGCAAGAGCTCGGTGTGTGTGGAGCCTGGGGTGAGCCAAAAACCCCCCAAAATCGCCCCAAAAACTGCCCCAAACCTGCCCCAAAACCTGCACAAAAACTGCACTAAAATCACCCCAAAAACTGCCCCAAAGTAACCCCAAAAACCGCCCCAAACCAGCCCCAAAATCACCCCAAAACTGCCCCAAACCCCATCAACCTGGGGGGCAAGACCTCGGTGTGCGTGGAGCCTGGGGTGAGCCAAAAACCCCCAAAATAGTCCCAAAAACTGCCCCAAACCTGCCCCAAAACCTGCCCAAAAACCGCACTAAAATAACCCCAAAACTGCCCTAAAACCTGCCCAAATACTGCCCCAAAATCAGCCCAAACCCCGTCAATCTGGGGGGCAAGAGGTTGGTGTGCATGGAGCCTGGGGTGAGCCAAAAACCCCCAAAATAACCCCAAAAACTGCCCCAAACCTGCCCCAAAACCTGCCCAAAAACCGCACTAATATCACCCCAAAACCTGCCCCAAAACTGCCCCAAAACCTGCCCAAAAACTGCCCAAAAACTGCCCTAAAATCAGCCCAAACCCTGTCAAGCCTGGGGGCAAGAGCTCGGTGTGTGTGGAGCCTGGGGTGAGCCAAAAACCCCCAAAACCTGCTCCAAACCTGCCCCAAACCTGCCCAAAAAGTGCCCTAAAACTGCCCCATAACCTGCCCCAAAAATGCCCGAAAACTGCCCCAAAAACTGCCCTAAAACTGCCCCCAAAACTGCCCCAAAATCAGCCCAAACCTCGTCAACCTGGGGGGCAAGAGCTCGGTCTGTGTGGAGCCTGGGGTGAGCCAAAAACCCCCAAAGTAGCCCCAAAAACTGCCCCAAACCTGCCCCAAAACTGCCCCAAAATCAGCCCAAAAACTGCCCTAAAACTGCCCCAAAAACTGCCCAAAAACTACCCCAAAATCACCCCAAAAACTGCCCCAAACCCCGTCAACCTGGGAGGCAAGAGCTCGGTGTGTGTGGAGCCTGGGGTGAGCCAAAAACCCCTAAAATTGCCCCAAAATCACCACAAAAACCACCCCAAAACCTGCCCCAAAATCACCCCAAACTGCCCCAAACCCCTGATCCCAAACCCTGACCCCAAATCCCCCAAACCCCAAACCCCTAACCCTAAATCCCAAATCCCTGAAACCCCAAACCCCAAACCCCACAAACCCCAAATCCCCCTGACCCCAAACTCCAAACCCCAAACCCAGAACCCTGACCCCAAACCCCAAACCCCCAAATCCCAAATCCCCTGGCCCCAAACCCCAAACCCCAAATCCCCCAATCGCTGACCCCAAATCCCCCAAATTCCAAACCCCAAACCCCAAATCCCCCAATCGCTGACCCCAAATCCCAAACCCCAAACACCCAAACCCCAAACCCTCCAAACCCCAAAACCCCACAAACCCCAAACCCCCCAAATCCCAAACCCCAAATCCCCCAAACCCCAAATCCCCCTGACCCCAAACCCCCCAAATCCCAAACCCCAAACCCCACAAACCCCAAACCCGACAAACCCCAAATCTCCCAAACCCCAAATCCCCCAAATCCCAAACCCCAAATCCCCCTGACCCCAAACCCCCCAGTTGCTGACCCCAAACCCCCCAGTTGCTGACCCCAAACCTCCTCTCTCCCCACAGGACGTTTTCCGCCTGCTGACCCCGGGCGGGGGCGGGTACGGCCCCCCTGAGGACGGGGCTGGGGGCGCCCCCCAGGACCCCCCGGACCCCCAGGACCTCTGGCCCCCCAAAACCCCCAAAATGCCCAAAATGCCCCAAACCCCCCGACCCCACAAACCTTCCTGGAGCGCGGCAGCGTCTTTGAGTTCCGGCAGGCGCAGGAGGCCGTGTGAGAGACCCCAAAACGGTTATGGGGCACCCCATAACCTCCTGTGGGGCACCCCAAAACCTGTGTGACCCCAAAATGGCTATGGGGCACCCCATAACCTCCTGTGGGGCACCCCAAAACCTGCTATGGGGCGCCCCATAACCTGCTGTGTGACCCTAAAATGGTTATGGGGCGCCCCATAACCTGTGTGACCCCAAAATGACTGTGGGGCACCCCATAACCTGCTGTGTGACCCCAAAACGGTTATGGGGCGCCCCATAACCTGTGTGACCCCAAAATGGCTGTGGGGCACCCCATAACCTCCTGTGGGGCGCCCCATAATCTGCTATGGGGCACCCCATAACCTCCTGTGGGGCACCCCATAATCTGCAATGGGGCACCCCATAACCTCCTGTGTGACCCCAAAATGGCTGTGGGGCACCCCATAACCTGCTGTGTGACCCAAAAATGGTTATGGGGCATCCCATAACCTGTGTGACCCCAAAACAGTTATGGGGCAGCCCCAAATCCGCTATGGGGCAGCCCCAAATCCCTGCTGTGTGACTCCAAATCCGCTGTGGGGTGGCCCCAAACCCACTATGGGGCCGCCCCATAAGCAGCTATAGGGCAGCCCCAAACTCTGCTATAGGGTAGCTCCTGACCCTGCTATGGGGCAGCCCCTCCTCTAGATACGCACAATTTATAGGGCAGCCCCTAAGCGCTCTATAGGGCAGCCCCCCACCCACTCCTGCTATGGGGCAGCCCCCCACCCATTCCAGCTATGCACAGCCTATGGGGCAGCCCCCCATTGCTAGATACGCACAGTCCATAGGGCAGCCCCCTGACCCTGCTATGGGGCAGCCCCCCAACCCCTCTATAGGGCAGCCCCCCACCCTACTATGGGGCAGCCTCTGCCAAACCCTGCTATGGGGCAGCCCATTAACCCTGCTATAGGGCAGCTCATGACCCTGCTATGGGGCAGACCCTCCTAGATACGCACAGTCCATAGGGCAGCCCGCTAACTCCACTATGGGGCAGCCCCCATCCCATCTATGCACCTGCTATAGGGCAGCCCATTAACCCTGCTATGGGGCAGTCCATTAACCCTGCTATAGGGCAGCTCCTGACCCTGCTATGGGGCAGACCCCCCTAGATACGCACAGTCTATAGGGCAGCCCCCTGACTCCACTATGGGGCAGCCCCCATGCCCTATGGGGCAGCCCATTAACCCTGCTATAGGGCAGCCCCTGCCAAACCCTGCTATGGGGGAGCCCCTGACCCTGCTATGGGGCAGCCCCTCAACCCATCTATAGGGCAGCCCCTGCGCAACCCTGCTATGGGGCAGCCCCCCCTAGATACGCACAATCCATAGGGCAGCCCCTCACCCACTCCAGCTATGGGGCAGCCCCCATCCCATTTATGCACCCCCCCATGGGTCAGCCCCTCACCCTGCTATGGGGCGGCCCCCCCTAGATATGCACCAGTCTGTAGGGCAGACCCCTAACTCCACTATGGGGCAGCCCCCCATCCTATCTATGCACCTGCTATGGGGCAGCCCCTCACCCAGCTATAGGGCAGCCCCTGACCCTGCTATGGGGCAGCCCCCTGAGCCCTCTATGGGACAGCCCCCCATTGCTGGAGATGCACCGTCTATAGGGCAGCCCCCCATCCCCTCTATAGGGAACCCCTCCCAAGCCCTGCTGTGGGGCAGCCCCCCCCTAGATACGCACAGTCCATAGGGCACCCCACTGACTCCAGCTATGGGGCAGCCCCCATCCCATCTATGCACCTGCTATGGGGCAGCCCCCTAACTCCACTATGGGGCAGCCCCTCATCCCATCAATGCACCTGCTATGGGGCAGCCCTGACCCTGCTATGGGGCAGCCCCCATCCCATCAATGCACCTGCTATGGGGCGGCCCCCTAACTCCACTATGGGGCAGCCCCCATCCCATCTATACACCTGCTATGGGGCGGCCCTGACCCTGCTATGGGGCAGCCCCTCACCCACTCTAGCTATGCACAGTCTATGGGGCAGCCCCCCATTGCTAGGTACGCACAGCCTATGGGGCAGCCCTCTGACCCCCCTATAGGGCACCCCCTCACAAACTCTGCTATGGGGCAGCCCCCCCTAGATACGCACAGTCCATAGGGCAGCCCCCTAACTCCACTATGGGGCAGCCCCCATACCTTGCTATGGGGAGCTCCTGACCCTGCTATGGGGCAGCCCCCCATTGCTAGATATGCACACTCTATGGGGCAGCCCCACACCCCCCATCCCATATATGCACCTGCTATGGGGCAACCCCTGGCTCTGCTATGGGGCAGCCCCCCCCCTTTAGATACACACAGTCCAAAGGGCACCCCCATAACTCCACTATGGGGCAGCCCCCTGACCCCGCTATGGGGCAGCCCCCCTAGGTACTCACAATCTATAGGGCAGCCCCCTAACTCCACTATGGGGCAGCCCTTGACCCCGCTATGGGGCAGCCCCCTGACCCCGCTATGGGGCAGCCCCCCTAGATACTCACAATCTATAGGGCAGCCCCCTAACTCCACTATGGGGCAGCCCTTGACCCTGCTATAGGGCAGACCCCATAACTCCACTATGGGGCAGCCCCTGACCCCGCTATGGGGCAGCCTCCCTAGATACTCACAATCTATAGGGCAGACCCCTAACTCCACTATGGGGCAGCCCCTGACCCTGCTATGGGGCAGCCCCCCTAGATACTCACAATCTATAGGGCAGCCCCCCCTCCCCAGCTCAGCCCCTCCATGGGGGGGGCCCAGCTCCCCCCTTTGGGGGTCTCCCCCCGGTTCCCCCCCAGCCTCCAATAAAGCTTCTTGTGCCCCCCAACTCCTGCCTGGTGTCTTGGGGGGGACAGGGACCCCCAGGGACCCCCCCCAGCCCCACAGAGCCCCCCCGAGCTCTGCCCCACAGATCCAGGGGGGGAGGGGACACCCCCCGACCCCAAACTCTGGGAATGGTGGGGAGGGGGAACCCCCCTGTGCCATGGGGGCTGTGCCAACCCTGCCAGAGAGAGGCTGGATCAGTGCTGGATCAATGGTGGATCAATGCCGGATCAATACTGGATCAATGGTGGATCAATGGTGGATCAATGCCAGATCAATACTGGATTAATGCTGGATCAATGGTGGATCAATGCCAGATCAATTCTGGATCAATGGTGGATCAATGCCAGATCAATTCTAGATCAATGCTGGATCAATGGTGGATCAATGCCGGATCAATACTGGATCAATGCAAGATCAATGCCAGATCAATTCTGGATCAATACTGGATCAATGCCGGATCAATACTGGATTAATGCTGGATCAATGGTGGATCAATGCCAGATCAATTCTGGATCAATGTCAGATCAATTCTGGATCAATGGTGGATCAATGCCAGATCAATTCTAGAGCAATACTGGATCAATGTCAGATCAATACCAGATCAATACTGAGCCAATGCTGGATCAATGCCGGATCAATGGTGGGTCAATACTGGATCAATGCCGTATTAATGCTGGATTAATAGCAGATCAATGCCAGATCTATGCTGAATCAATGCTGGATCAATGCCTGATCAATGCCTGATCAATGCCCAATCAATACTAGATCAATGCTAGATCAATGCTGGGTCAGTGCCATATCAATGCTGGATCAATGCCAGATCAATACTGAGCCAATGCCAGATCAATATTGGATCAATACCAGATCAGCAATGGATCAATTCCACACTGATGGATCAGTGCTGGGTCGATGGTGGATCAATACCAGACCGATAACAGACTGATACGGGATCAATGCCACATCAACACTGGTTTGATGCTGGATCAATGCTGGATTAATCCTGGATCAATGCTGGATTAATGGTGGATCAATGCCAGATCAATACTGATCCAATGCCGGATCAATGCTGGATCAATGCCGGATCAATGCTGATCAATGCTGGATCAATGCAGGATCAATGCTGGATCAATGCTGGATCAATAATGATCCAATGCCAGATCAATGCTGGATCAATGCCGGCTCAATGTAGGATCAATGCCAGATCAATGCTGATGCAATGCCGGATCAATGCCTAATCCAATGCTGGATCAATGCCGGATCAATGCAGGATCAATGCCGGATCAATGCCGGATCAATGCCGGCTCAATGCCGGATCAATACTGATCCAATACTGGATCAATGCCGGCTCAATGTCGGATCAATGCCGGCTCAATACGGATCAACTACTGGATCAATGCCGGCTCAATCTCAGATCAGTGCCGGCTCAATGCCGGCTCAATACCAGATCAATGCCGGATCAATGCCAGATCAATGCCAGATCAATGCCGGATCAATGCCAGATCAATGCCGGATCAATGCCACCTCAATGCCGGCTCAATCCCGGATCAATGCCGGATCAGTGCCGGATCAATACCGGATGAATCCCGGATCAATACTGGCTCAATGCCGGCTCAGTGCCGGGTGCCGCTGCAGGAGGGTTCATCCCCGGGCTCTGGGGTGCAGCTGGAGCGGGGCCCCTGTGCCCCCATCCCCCGATCCCAGCTCCCCCCGCACCCAATCCCCCCAGCCCAGCCCCCAGCCCAGCCCCCAGCCCAAACCCCTCTGCCTGATCCGGACCCGCTCCGGGGCTGCTCCCAATCCCAATCCCCAAATCCCAATCCCAGCTCTCTCTCCTGGGGCTGTTCCCATTCCCATTCCCATTCCCATTCCCATTCCCATTCCCCATTCCCCATTCCCATTCCCCATTCCCATTCCCATTCCCCATTCCCCATTCCCATCCCCATATTCCCCATTCCCATCCCCATTCCCCATTCCCCATTCCCTGCACAATCAAGTCCCGAACTCGACTCATTTTTTCCAAAATTCCTTCATGAGCTTCATCCCGGCACCAGAGCACCAGGGCAAAGCCCGGCTGATGCCAGAGCAGTGCCCAATCAATGCCGGATCAATACAGATCAATGCTGGATGCATGCCAGATTAATGCCCAATCTATGCTGCAATGGTTCCCGATCAATGTCAGATCAATAGGAGATCAATACTGCTCCAATACCAGATCAATGCTGGGTCAATCATGGACTGATTCCCGATCAATGTCAGATCAATGTCAGATCAATATCAGATCAATACTGCTCCAATAGCAAATCAATGCTGGGTCAATCATGGACTGATTCCCGATCAATGTCAGATCAATGTCAGAACAATAGGAGATCAATACTGCCCCAATACCGGATCAATGCTGGGTCAATCATGGACTGATTCCTGATCAATGTCAGATCAATGTCAGATCAATAGGAGATCAATACTGCCTCAATACCGGATCAATGCTGGGTCAATCATGGACTGATTCCCGATCAATGTCAGATCAATAGGAGATCAATACTGCCCCAATACCAGATCAATGCTGGGTCAGTCATGGAGTGATTCCCGATCAATGTCAGATCAACACTGCCCCAATACTGGATCAATGCTGGGTCCATCATGGTCTGGTTCCCAATCAATGTCAGATCAATATCAGGCTGATCCTGCCCCAATACCAGATCAATGTCAGATCAATACTGCCCCAATACCGGATCAATGTCAGATCAATAGCAGGCGGATCCTGCCCCAATACCGGATCAATGCTGGATCCGTTATGGACAGATTCCCAATCAAAGCTGGATCAATGCTGGATCAATACCGGATCAATGCTGCACCGATTCTGCACCAATATGGGATCAATGCTGTACTGATCCCGCCCCTGCAGTGACCGCTCCTGTGGCCAGTGCAGTGACCAGTGCTGTGTCCAGTGCTGTGTCCAGTGCTGTGTCCACAGTGCAGTGACCGCTGCTGCGTCCAGTGCAGTGACCAGTGCTGTGTCCAGTGCAGTGACCGCTGTTGTGTCCAGTGCAGTGACCAGCGCTGTGTCCAATGCTGTGACCGCTGCAGTGTCCAGTGCTGTGACCACTGCTGTGTCCAGTGCTGTGTCCAGTGCAGTGACCGCTGCTGTGTCCAGTGCAGTGACCACTGCTGTGTCCACAGTGCAGTGACCGCTGCTGCGTCCAGTGCAGTGACCAGTGCTGTGTCCAGTGCAGTGACCACTGCTGTGGCCAGTGCTGTGGCCAGAACTGTGTCCAGTGCAATGACCACTGCTGTGTCCAGTGCAGTGACCTCTGCTGTGTCCAGTGCAGTGTCCAGTGCTGTGGTCAGGGCTGTGGCTGGAGCCATGATCACACTGGGATCACATTGGGGTCAGAGCTGTGACCGGTGCTGTGTCCAGCCCCGTGTCCAGAGTGTGGCCACTCTCAGGTCTGAGCTGTGTCCAGCCCCATGTCCATCCCTGTGTCCAGCCCCATGTCCAGCCCCATATCCAGCCCTGTGTCCATCCCCATATCCAGCCCTGTGTCCATCCCCATGTCCAGCCTGGTGTCCAGCCCCGTGTCCAGAGTGTGGCCACTCTCAGGTCTGAGCTTGTCCAGCCCCATGTCCATCCCTGTGTCCAGCCCGGTGTCCAGCCCTGTGTCCAGCCCCGTGTCCATCCCCGTGCCCAGCCCAGTGTCCAGCCCCGTGTCCAGCCTGGTGTCCAGCCCCGTGTCCAGAGTGTGGCCACTCTCAGGTCCGAGCTGTGTCCAGCCTGGTGTCCAGCCCTGTGTCCATCCCTGTGTCCAGCCCAGTGTCCAGCCCCGTGTCCAGAGTGTGGCCACTCTCAGGTCCGAGCTGTGTCCATCCCAGTGTCCATCCCATTGTCCATCCCCGTGTCCAGCCCCATGTCCAGCCCTGTGTCCAGCCCGGTGTCCATCCCCATGTCCAGCCCTGTGTCCAGCCCAGTGTCCATCCCCGTGTCCAGCCCCATGTCCATCCCCGTGTCCATCCCCGTGTCCAGCCCCATGTCCATCCCCGTGTCCATCCCCGTGTCTAGCTCTATGTCCAGCCCTATGTCCAGCCCCATGTCCAGAGTGTGGCCTCTCTCAGGTCCGAGCTGTGTCCAGCCCTGTGTCCAGCCCTGTGTCCATCCCTGTGTCCAGCCCCATGTCCAGCCCCATATCCAGCCCTGTGTCCATCCCCATATCCAGCCCTGTGTCCATCCCCATGTCCAGCCTGGTGTCCAGCCCCGTGTCCAGAGTGTGGCCACTCTCAGGTCTGAGCTTGTCCAGCCCCATGTCCATCCCTGTGTCCAGCCCCATGTCCAGCCCTGTGTCCAGCCCCGTGTCCATCCCCGTGCCCAGCCCAGTGTCCATCCCCGTGCCCAGCCCAGTGTCCAGCCCCGTGTCCAGCCTGGTGTCCAGCCCCGTGTCCAGAGTGTGGCCACTCTCAGGTCCGAGCTGTGTCCAGCCTGGTGTCCAGCCCTGTGTCCATCCCTGTGTCCAGCCCAGTGTCCAGCCCTGTGTCCAGCCCCATGTCCATCCCCATGTCCAGCCCTGTGTCCAGCCCGGTGTCCATCCCCGTGTCCATCCCCGTGTCCAGCCCCATGTCCATCCCCGTGTCCATCCCCGTGTCTAGCCCTATGTCCAGCCCCATGTCCAGAGTGTGGCCACTCTCAGGTCCAAGCTGTGTCCATCCCAGTGTCCATCCCATGTCCATCCCCGTGTCCAGCCCCGTGTCCAGCCCCGTGTCCATCCCCATGTCCATCCCCGTGTCCAGCCCCATGTCCAGCCTGGTGTCCAGCCCTGTGTCCAGCCCTGTGTCCAGCCCCATGTCCAGCCCGGTGTCCATCCCCGTGTCCAGCCCGGTGTCCAGCCCCATGTCCAGCCCCATGTCCAGCCCTGAGTCCATCCCATTGTCCATCCCCGTGTCCAGTCCCATGTCCATCCCCGTGTCCATCCCTGTGTCCAGCCCCATGTCCAGCCCTATGTCCATCCCTGTGCCCAGCCCCATGTCCAGAGTGTGGCCACTCTCAGGTCCGAGCTGTGTCCATCCCAGTGTCCATCCCATTGTCCATCCCCGTGTCCAGTCCCATGTCCATCCCCGTGTCCATCCCCGTGTCCATCCCAGTGTCCAGCCCTGTGTCCAGCCCTATGTCCATCCCCATGTCCAGCCCCGTGTCCATCCCGGTGTCCATTGCCGTGTCCGTGCCGGGGTCAGAGGTCAGCGGGCCCCAGGCGCAGCCGCAGGGCCACGGGCAGGTGGTCAGACATTGTGGCCAGCTCGGTGATGACCGAGTACCCGATGACCTCCTGTGGGGACAGCGGGGTCAGGACGGGGTCACGGGGACACCAGGGGACACCGGGGTCACTGGGTGGTCACTGAGGGGTCACTGGGGGTTCCCAGCGGTCACTCACAGTGGTCAGTGCAGGGTCCCAGGGGTCACTAGGGTCCCAGGGGTCACTGGGGAGGTCACTGGGTGGTCACTGAGGGGTCATTGGGGGTTCCCAGCGGTCACTCACAGTGGTCAGCGCAGGGTCCCTCCTCAGCAGCGCTCTGTCCACTCTCCGGCCCTGCCACGGCCGTGGGGCCATCGGGTCCAGGGCCCCGCAGGACAGGATGGGACCCGCCAGGAACCGCTCGCGTCCCCACGGCTGGGACAGCGTCCTGAGGGGACACGGGGACACAGTGGGACATGGGGACATGGGGACACAGGGACATGGGGACAGAGTGACAAGGGACATGGGGACATAGAGACACAGGGACATGGGGACACAGTGGGACACGGGGACAGGGACACAGGGACATGGGGACAGAGTGACAAGGGACATGGGGACATAGAGACACGGGGACATGGGGACACGGGGACATGGGGACAGAGACACAAGGACATGGGGGACATGGGGACATGGGGACACAGTGGGACACAGTGGGACACGGGGACAGGGACATGGGGACATGGGGACAGAGAGATAGGGACACGGGGACACAGTGGGACATGGGGACACAGTGGGACATGGGGACAGGGACACAGGGACATGGGGGACACGGGGACATGGGGACACAGTGGGACACGGGGACATGGGGACAGAGTGACAGGGACACAGGGACATGGGGACATGGGGACACAGTGGGACACGGGGACAGGGACATGGGGACATGGGGACAGAGAGATAGGGACACAGGGACATGGGGACATGGGGACACAGTGGGACACGGGGACATGGGGACAGAGTGACAGGGACACAGGGACATGGGGACATGGGGACACAGTGGGACATGAGGACAGAGTGACAGGGACACGGGGACATGGGGACAGAGTGACAAGAGACATGGGGACACAGGGAGACGGGGACATGGGGACACAGTGGGACATGGGGACAGAGCTACAGGGCCACGGGGACACAGGGACACAGGGACATGGGGACAGAGTGGGACAGAGTGACGGGGACATGGGGACACAGCCAAAGCAAGTGGGACAGAGTGACACAGGGACACGGGGACACAGGGACGGCACATGGGGACACAGTTGGACACAGGGACATGGGAGACATGGGGACAGACATGGGGACACAGTGGGACACGGGGACAGGGATTCAGGGACATGGGGACAGAGTGACAAGGGACATGGGGATATAGAGACACGGGGACATGGGGACACGGGGACATGGGGACAGAGACACAAGGACATGGGGGACATGGGGACATGGGGACACAGTGGGACACAGTGGGACACGGGGACAGGGACATGGGGACATGGGGTCATGGGGACAGACATGGGGACACAGTGGGACACGGGGACATGGGGACAGAGTGACAAGAGACATGGGGACACAGGGAGACGGGGACATGGGGACACAGTGGGACAGAGTGACGGGGACATGGGGACACAGCTAAAGCAAGTGGGACCGAGTGACACAGGGACACGGGGACACAGGGACGGCACATGGGGACACAGGGACATGGGGACATGGGGACAGAGCAGGACAGAGTGACGGGGACACAAGGACAGAGGGGACACGGTGACACAGGCATGGAGGACCCTCCCCTCCCCCCCCATGTCCCCAGTGTCCCCATTGTCACCTCCTCATCTCCTCAGGGGTGGACACGGGCTCCTCGTAGATCATGAGGTAATTGAGCAGCGTCCCTGGGGACAGCAGGGGACAGGAGAGGACAGGAGGGGACAGAGACATGAGCAGGACCCCGGACACAGGGAGGGGACAGGAGGGGACAGGAGGGACATGAATGGGACCCCAGGGGACAGGGAGGGGACAGGAGGGGACAGGGAGGGGACAGGAGAGGACAGGAGGGGACAGAGACATGAGCGGGACCCCGGACACAGGGAGGGGACAGGAGGGGACAGAGACATGAGCAGGACCCCAGACATGGGGAGGGGACAGGAGGGGACAGGGAGGGGACAGGAGGGGACAGGGACATGAGCAGGATCCCGGACACAGGGAGGGGACAGGGAGGGGACAGGGACGGGACAGAGAGGGGACAGGGAGGGGACAGGAGGGGACAGAGACATGAGCGGGACCCCGGACACAGGGAGGGGACAGGAGGGGACAGGAAGGGACAGAGAGGGGACAGGAGGGACATGAACGGGACCCCAGGGCACAGGGAGGGGACAGTGGGCTCCCCAGGCCCGGGTAACCATGGGGTCCCCGGGCAGAGGTGACACTGGGCTCCCTGGGGAGGTGACAGCGGTGTCCCCACCGATGGCCCAGGGCTGCTCCTGGCCCGAGTCGCAGCATGCGGGGTCCCAGAACTCCTTGAACAGGCGGTGCTGCCGGTTCTGGGCGTCACCTGCCGGGGACACGGCGCTGCTGTCACCCCCGTGTCCCCCCGTGTCCCCCTCCTGTCTAGCCCTGTGTCCCCTGTCTCCCTCCCGTGTCCCTTCATGTCCCTCTGTCCCCGTCCTGTGTCCCTTCGTGTCCCACACCTCTGTCCCCTCCTGTGTTCCTTTGTGTCCCCCTGTGTCCCCCCCATGTCCCCCATCCCTGTCCCGTGTCCCTCTGTCCCCGTCCTGTGTCCCTTCATGTCCCACACCTCTGTCCCTCATGTCCCCCCGTGTCCCCTGTCCCTCTCGTGTGTCCATTTGTGTCCTACACCCGTCTCCTCCTGTGTCCCCCTGTGTCCCCCCATGTCCTCTGTCCCCTGCCCATGTCCCCCTGTGTCCCTGTCCCTGTCCCGCGTCTCTTCATGTCCCACACCTCTGTCCCCCTGTGTCCCCTTGGGTCCCTCTGTCCCCCTCCCATGTCCCACACTCTGCCCTCCACGTCCCCCCGTGTCCCCGTGTCCCCCTCCTGTCTACCCCTGTGTCCCCTGTCTGCCTCCCGTGTCCCTTCATGTCCCACACCTCTGTCCCCTTATGCCCCCCGGGCCCCTCTGTCCCCCTCCCATGTCCCACACTCTGCCCTCCACGTCCCCCCATGTCCCTCTGTCCCCCTCCAATGTCCCCCCGTGTCCCTCTGTCCCTCTCCCATGTCCCCCCATGTCCCACACCTCTGCCCCCCGTTTCCCTCTGTCCGCCCTGCCCGTGTCCCCCCGTGTCCCACACCTTTTCCCCCGTGGCCCCTGTCCCTCTCCTGTGTCCTTTGTTTCCCACCCCTCTGTCCCCTCCTGTCCCCCCCCGTGTCCCCACCGCGGGAGCAGTTGTCGAAGTTGAGGTCCCCGCAGAGGACATCGAAGGCCACCAGGTCCCCACGCCGGTCCTGCTCCTGCCGGAACTCCCAGAGCCACCGGAGCACCAGGGACAGCTGCTGGTCACGGATGGTGGCATCGGCTGGGACATGGGGACATCATGGGGACATCATGGGGACATGAACATGGGGACAGGGACAGACACAGGGACAGGGACAGACACAGGGACAGCTGCTGGTCACGGATGGTGGCATCGGCTGGGACAGGGGGACATGGGGACATCATGGGGACATCATGGGGACAGGGACAGACACAGGGACGGACAAAGGGACAGCTGCTGGTCACAGATGGTGGCATTGGCTGGGACAGGGGGACATGGGGACATCATGGGGACAGGGACAGACACAGGGACAGACACGGACATCTGCTGGTCACAGATGGTGGCATTGCCTGGGACAGGGGGACATGGGGACATCATGGGGACAGGGACAGACACAGGGACATGGACACAGGGACAGCTGCTGGTCATGGATGGTGGCATTGGCTGGGACAGGGACATCATGGGGACTTCATGGGTACATGAACATAGGGACATGGACATGGGGACAGGGACAGACACAGGGACATGGACACAGGGACAGCTGCTGGTCATGGATGGTGGCATTGGCTGGGACATGGGGACAATACGGACAATTGGGACATGGACACGGGGACATGGACATGGGGACAGACACAGTGACGGGAACACAGGGGCACACAGGTGTATATGGACATTGGGGGACATGGGGACACAGAGGGACAGACGCAGGGACATTGGGGACAGGGGGACGCAGACACACGGGCGCAAGGGAACATGGACAGAGGGATATGGGGACACATGAACACAGACACAAGGACATAGGGACAGAGGGACATGGGGACACATGAACACAGACACAAGGACATGGGGACATGGGGACAGGGGGACACACAGATGCAGGGATACTTGGGGACATGGGGACACAGGGACAGGTGGACACACGGATTTGGTGGGACACAAACACACGGACACAGCAGCACAAGGACACCTCGAGGCCCCCCGGTGTCACCCCCAGTGTCCCCCCACGCTGTCACCGTGTCCCCACTCACCTGCGGGCGCCTGCAGGTGGGTGCAGCCCAGGTACCCCACAACGCGCCGGCCTTGCTCCGTCCCCAACAGCACCTGCAGGGGACACCAGCCACACGTCACCTCAGCCCCGTGTCACCCCCCGGCACCCCTCAGGCGTCGCCCCCTCACCTGCGCCACCAGCAGCCCCTTGTTGGCCAGCGCGTCCTCGCGGGCGGCGTTGGGGAAGGGCTGGAAGCGGGCGGCCAGCAGCGGGAAGCGGCTGCCCAGGAGCAGCCCGCTGCCCAGGGCCCGCAGCCGGCCGCAGCGCAGCCCCCCCGGGCCCACGCCCCACAGCACGTGCGGGAAGCGGCGGCCGAGCTGCCGGCGCAGGGCGGCGGCCGCAGCGCTGTCGAACACTTCCTGCAGGCACACGAAGTCGGTGTCCGGCGGGACGCGGGCGCTCAGCACCGCGGGCATTGGGTCCGCCAGCGGGATCGGCCGCTCCGGCCCCGGGCCGGACGCTGGGCATGGAGCAGCTCCCGGCGCTGGGTTGGTCAGCGGCAACTCCGGCGCTGGCACCGAGTCAACGGTTGGCCAAGAGTTGGTCATCGGTGCTGGGTTGGCCATCAGCGTTGGGTTGGTTATTGGAGTTGGGTTTGCCATCCATGTTGAGTTGGTCATTGCGGTTGGGTTGGCCATCCATGTTGAGTTGGTCATCGGTGTTGGGTTGGTCATTGCAGTTGAGTTGGCCATGGATGTTGAGTTGGCCGTCGGTGTTGGGTTGGCCATGGCTGTTGGGTTGGCCATTGGCATCTCCGGCCATTCCATCGTGCCATCCGCTGTCGCCGCCCTCCACGCCCCCCGCCCGGCATCTCCGCCCGGGTGCCCCCCTCGTGCCGCGGTGCCCCCGTAACCCCGGCCCCTCCGTGGCCCCAGCAGCCCGCGCCGGTGTCCAGAAGCTTCCGCGGGCGCTCCGGCCGCCAGGATCCGCCCAATGAGTGCCGCCCTCCGCCGCGTGTCGCCCAGGTTGCTGAAGCGCGCCAGCCCGCTGGGCAGCAGGCACACGTTGGCCGTCAGGAAGGTGAAGCTGCGGGCTCGCCGTGCGTCCCAGGGCTCGGCCACGGCCGCAGCGGCCGCGTGCTGGTGGACGAAGGGCCGGCGCTTGGCCTGCACCGGCAGCCACAGCAGCAGCCCCGGCAGCGCCGGCAGCAGCGCCAGCAGCAGCGCCAGCAGCAGCAGCGGCGCCGCCAGCGCCCGCGCACCCACGGCCAGGCAGAGCCCGGCCCGGCGGCGCTGCCAGCGCGCCCGCTGCGCCGTGGTGGGCACCAGCAGCGCCAGCAGCCGGTCCAGCGCCCAGTACGCGGGGCTCAGCAGCCCCTCGGCCACTCCGGCCAGCGCAGCCAGCGTCCAGCTGGGGAACGGGGTGTCCGGCAGAGTGGACAGAGGCGGCCACGCCATTGGGGGGTCCTGGGGGCGCTCCCGGAGCGGTTCGGAGGCTCGGGCACAGTTGGCACAAGCTGTGGGGAGGGGTCTCGGTGAGGGCGAGGGGGCCTGCGCGTGTCCCTGTCCCCAGGTGGGGCAGGACGCTCTGTGACCCGTGTGCCACCGTGGGAAAAACAGGTGTGACCCAACCCCCCCCCCCCCCCCATCTCCGGGAGTCCTGGTCAGTGTGGGAAACTCCTGTGGCCGGAGTCTGACCCCTCCCCATGCCGGCCACCACCGTGGGAACGACCCTGGACCCCCCCCAAAAAATCCCAAACCCCAATTCCCGTGGGAAACTCAGGTGGGCACAGCCGGGAGGGGACAACCCCGGTCCCACCTGCACCCCCAGCCCCACCCCCGCAGCCGCCACCTCACCTGTCCCCCCGGTTTGGGGGGGTCTGCAGGCACCGGGACCCCCGGTGAGACAGGACAGGTGAGGCCCAAACCCTGAGCCCGGCCAGGTGAGTCCCGGCCCTTCCTCTTGTCCAGGTGAATCCCTGCCCCTGATCCTGTCCTGGTGAGTCCTGGCCCTTCCCCTTGTCCAGGTGAGTCCTGGCCCTTCCCCTTGTCCAGGTGAATCCCTGCCCCTGATCCTGTCCAGGTGAGTCCTGGCCCCTCCCCTTGGCCAGGTGAATCCTGGTGAATGAGCCCGGCCAGGTGAGGCCTGGCTCCTCCCCTTGGCCAGGTGAGTCCTGACCTCTCCCCTTGTCCAGGTGAGTCCTGGCCCTTCCCTTTGTCCAGGTGAGTCCTGACCCCTCCCCTTGTCCAGGTGAGTTCCAGCCCTTGATCCTGTCCAGGTGAATCCTGACCCCTCCCCTTGTCCAGGTGAGTCCCGGCCCCTGACCCTGTCCAGGTGAGTCCTGGTGTATGAGCCTGACCAGGTAAATCCCGGCCCCTCCCCTTGTCCAGGTGAGTCCTGTCTGACCGGGCTGGTCCGACAGGTTCCTGGCAGCTCTGAGCCACCAGGGCTGGACACTGCACGCGGCCACTGACACCTCACCTGGGCAGGTGACAGCTCACCTGGGCCAATGAGACCTCACCTGGGCCAGTGACAGCTCACCTGAGCAGGTGACAGCTCACCTGGGCCAATGAGACCTCACCTGGGCCAATGAGACCTCACCTGGGCCAGTGACACCTCATCTGGGCCGATGACACCTCACCTGGGCCAGTGACACCTCACCTGAGCAGGTGACTCCTGCCTGACTCCTGCCCCAGTTCTTCCCAGATCCTGCTGACTCTGCAGCTGCCCAACCCCAGTATGGGATGGAGCCGGAAACTGGGGGCACTGGGAATGCTGGGGACACTGGGAATGCTGGGGACACTGGGGACACTGGGAATGTTGGGGATACTGGGAGATACTGGGAATGGTGGGGACACTGGGAATGCTGGAATTGGGGAACACTGGGGGCACCGAGGTTACTGGGAATGCTGGGGACACTGGGCATACTGGGAGCAGCGGGACACTGGGGGCACTGGGAATGCTGGGGATACTGGGAATACTGGGAGCAGCGGGACACTCCGGACACTGGGAATGTTGGGGACACTGGGAATGTTGGGGATACTGGGGGATACTGGGAATACTGGGAGCACTGGGGACACTGGGGGACACTGGGAATGCTGGGGACACTGGGGGATACTGGATTTACTGGGGACACTGGGAATGCTGGAATTGGGGAACACTGGGGGCACCGAGGTTACTGGGAATGCTGGGGGCACTGGGAATACTGGGGACACTGGGATTACTGGAATGACTCCCTGGGAATGCTGGGGAGACTGGGAATACTGGAATTACTGGGGACACTGGGAGCACTGGGGACACTGGGAATACTGGAATTACTGGGGACACTGGGAGCACTGGGAGCACTGGGGATGCTGGCCATACTGGAATTACTGGGGACACTGGGAGCACTGGGAGCACTGGGGATGCTGGCCATATTGGGATTACTGGGGAAAATCGGACACTGGGGATGCTGGGGATACTGGGGATGCTGGGGACATTGGAGCCACTGGGAGTGATGGGGACACTGGGGACGATGGCCATGCTGGGGGGCACTGGGGACACTGGGGGATACTGGGATTACTGGAATAACTCCCTGGGAATGCTGGGGACACTGGGCATACTGGGAGCAGTGGGACACTGGGCATGCTGGAATTACTGGGGACACTGGGAGCACTGGGGGATACTGGAGGCACTGGGGACACTGGGGGATACTGGGGACACTGGGGATGCTGGGGACACTGGGGACAGCAGGGACACTGGGATTACTGGAGATGAGGGCACTGGGCCTACTGGGAGCACTGGGACACCCCTGAGGCTCCGTCCCCCCCCCCAGCCCTGGTTTGTCCCTTGTCCCCTGGGTGCCGTGGGTGGCAGGGCTGGCAGTGCCACAGGTGACACGGGCCAGGTGTGGCACGGGGACAGCCCTGACACCCACGGGGCCGAATCTGTGTCACCTGAGCCTGTGGGGACCGTCCCCAGTGTCCACCCAGAGGGGTCCAGTGTCCACCCAGAGGGGCCCAGTGTCCCCAGTGTCCACCCAGAGAGGTCCCAGTGTCCCCAGTGCCCACCCAGAGGGGTCCCAGTGTCCCCAGTGTCCACCCAGAGGTGTCCCAGTGTCCACCCAGAGGGGCCCAGTGTCCCCAGTGCCCACCCAGAGGGGTCCCAGTGTCCCCAGTGTCCACCCAGAGGGGTCCCAGTGTCCCCAGTGTCCACCCAGAGGGGTCCCAGTGTCCCCAGTGTCCATCCAGAGAGGTCCCAGTGTCCACCCAGAGGGGTCCAGTGTCCCCAGTGTCCATCCAGAGGGGTCCCAGTGTCCCCAGTGTCCCCCCAGAGGGGTCTCAGTGTCCCCAGTGTCCATCCAGAGGGGTCCCAGTGTCCCCAGTGTCCACCCAGAGGGGTCCCAGTGTCCCCAGTGTCCCCCCAGAGGGGTCTCAGTGTCCCCAGTGTCCATCCAGAGGGGTCCCAGTGTCCCCAGTGTCCACCCAGAGGTGTCCCAGTGTCCACCCAGAGGGGTCCAGTGTCCCCAGTGTCCACCCAGAGGGGTCCCAGTGTCCCCAGTGTCCCCCCAGAGGGGTCTCAGTGTCCCCAGTGTCCATCCAGAGGGGTCCCAGTGTCCCCAGTGTCCACCCAGAGGGGTCCAGTGTCCCCAGTGTCCACCCAGAGAGGTCCCAGTGTCCATCCAGAGGGGTCCCAGTGTCCCCAGTGTCCACCCAGAGGTGTCCCAGTGTCCACCCAGAGGGGTCCAGTGTCCCCAGTGTCCACCCAGAGAGGTCCCAGTGTCCATCCAGAGGGGTCCCAGTGTCCCCAGTGTCCACCCAGAGGTGTCCCAGTGTCCACCCAGAGGGGTCCAGTGTCCCCAGTGTCCATCCAGAGGGGTCCCAGTGTCCCCAGTGTCCATCCAGAGGGGTCTCAGTGTCCCCAGTGCCCACCCAAGGGGTCAGTGCCAGTGTCCCCATGTCCCCACAGTCCTGTCCCAGTGTCACCCCCATTGTCCCCGCGGTGCCGCCTTCTCTCGGGTGTGGCCACCAAGCCCTCCCTGCCCTGTCCCTTGCTGTGCCCAGGGGGGACAAGTGACACCACAAGTGACACCACAAGTGGCACCAAGCCGGGGTAGCCCGAGGGCTGGGCAGGACCCGGGCCACCCGTGCCAGCTCCTAGCCCGTCCCCGTTCCCAGTTCCAGTTCCCAATTCCCAATTCCCCGATCTCAATTCCCAATTCCCAGTTCCCAATTCCCAATTCCCCATTCCCATTTCCTTATTCCCAATTCCCAATTCCCCATTCCCCGTTCCCCATTCCCCATTTCCCCCGTTCCCATTTCCCCGTTCCCGGTCCCCTCCCAGTGCCACTTGTCGCCGCCACCTCCCTGCCACCCCCTCACCTCCGCACGCCGCCATGGGGGCCACACCGGGGCCACACCGGGGCCACACCGGGGCCACACCGGGGCCACCACCGGGGCCGCCTCTCGCCGCTGCCACCGGTGTCCCCACGCTGGTGGCTCAGCGTCAGGTGACAAACCCAAACATCCGCCGGCCGCGGGGTCACCTGGCCGCAGGTGTGGCCGGACCGGTTCTCCCGGCAGCCCCAAGGGGCTCTGGTGGCACCTGCGCCGCCCCGCACCCCCCTCACCTGCCCAGGTGACGCGGCCGGGGCTGCCCCGAGCTGCCCCTTGTCCCCTCCCCTGTCCCCTCCCCTGTCCCCTTCACTTCCTTTTCCCGCCACCGGAGCAAACGGACTCACGTTGGGGGGGGTCGGGGTCGGGTCCGTGTCCCCCGCTCTCTCCTGGACCCCCAGACCCCCAGACCTCGGTCCGTGTCACCCCTGTCCCCCCCTGACACCTCTGTCACCCCTGTCCCCTCTGTCACCTCTGTCCCCCCCATCTCGGAGCCCGTGTCACCTGAGCCCCCCCCGGGGCAGGGGGTGACAGGGGAGGGGACACGGGAGGGGACAGGGGAGGGGACACCCCCCACCGCCCCCCCGGGACCCCCCCCGGTGACCTCGGTGTGGATCCGCGGCTCCGCTGGCGCCTCCAGAACCGAAAGGAAAAGCGCGGCCAAAAGCGAAAGGAAAAGCGCCGTGACCCCCCCAGTACGGCCCTGACCCCCCCAGTACGGCCACAGTGACCGCTCCCAGTACGGCCACAGTGACCGCTCCCAGTACGGCCCTGGCCCCCCCAGTACGGCCAGGACCCCCCAGTGTCCCTCTGTCTGTCCCTCTGTCTGTCCCTCTGTCTGTCCCTCTGTCTGTCCCTCCACCCGCTCGCACCCAGCGCTGTTCTCCACCTTCCACCATCGCCTCTGTGCATGGGGGGGGGGTCACACACACGAGTCCCGGGGCAGGGGGTCCCTATGGGGCAGGGAAGGGTCTCTATGGGGCCAGGCCCCTCTGTGGGGCAGGGAAGGGTCTCTATGGGGCGGGGAAGGGTCTCTATGGGGCGGGGAAGGGTTTTTATGGGGTACGGAGGAATCTCTATGGGGCCAGACCACTCTATGGGGCAGGGGAGTCTCTATGGGGCCAGACCACTCTATGGGGCAGGGGAGTCTCTATGGGGCCAGGCCCCCTCTATGGGGCAGGGGAGTCTCTATGGGGCCAGGCCCCCTCTATGGGGCGGAGAAGGGTCTCAATGGGGCGGGGAAGGGTTTTTATGGGGCAGGGAGGGGTTTCTATGGGGCAGGGAAGGGTTTCTATGGGGCCAGGCCCCTCTATGGGGTATGGAGGAATCTCTATGGGGCAGGAGGGGTCTCTGTGGGGCGGGGAAGGGTCTCTATGGGGCCAGGCCCCTCTATGGGGCAGGGGAGGCTCTATGGGGCCAGGCTCCTCTATGGGGTAGGGGGGGGTCTCTATGGGGACAGGCCCCTCTATGGGGTAGGGGGGTCCCTATGGGGCCAGGCCCCTCTATGGGGCAGGGAAGGGTCTCTATGGGGCAGGGAGGGGTTTCTATGGGGCCAGGCCCCTCTATGGGGCATGGAGGAGTCTCTATGTGCCAGGAGGGGTCCCTATGGGGCCAGGCCCCTCTATGGGGCAGGGAGGGGTCTCTATGGGGCCAGGCCCCTCTATGGGGCAGGTAGGGGTCTCTATGGGGTAGGGGTGGTCTCTATGGGTCAGGGGGTTCCCTATGGGGCCAGGCCCCTCTATGGGGCAGGTAGGGGTCTCTATGGGGTAGGGGTGGTCTCTATGGAGCAGGGGGTTCCCTATGGGGCCAGGCACCTCTATGGGGCAGGGAGGAGTCTCTATGGGGCCAGGCCCCTCCATGTGCCAGAGGGGTCCCTATGGGGCCAGGCCCCTCTATGGGGCAGGGAGGGGTCTCTATGTGCCAGGGGGTCCCTATGGGGCCAGGCCCCTCTATGGGGCACGGAGAAGTCTCTATGGGGCAAGGGGGGGTCCCTATGGGGCCAGTCGCCTCTATGGGGCAGGGGAGTCTCTATGGGGCAGGAGGGGTCTCTATGTGCCAGGGGGGTCCCTATGGGGCCAGGCCCCTCTATGGGGCGCAGTGTGGCGCTGTCCCCCCCCGCCCGCAGGAATTTGTCACCTCTCGGGGACACTTTGTCGCCGCGGCCGTGACAAAGTGGAGCCGTGTCCGGGCACGGCTGCCAGAGCCCCCCCGGCCCCACAGCGGCCCCACAGCGCCGCCAGAGGGGCCCGATAAGGCCCCGGGCCGCCCCCCCGGCATGTCCCGATATAGCCGCGATAGGGACGGGCTGTCAGCGCCCGCCGGTGCGGGGACATTGGCCAGAGACCCCGACCCGGCCCCACAGAATCCCCTAAAAGGGAACGACAGTCCCTGCCCCACAGAATCCCATACAGAGACCCCCCTGTCTGTGCCCCATAGAATCCCCTAAATGAGGGATCCCCGGTCCCTGCCCCACAGAATCCCCTAAAAGGGAACGACAGTCCCTGCCCCACAGAATCCCATACAGAGACCCCCCTGTCTGTGCCCCATAGAATCCCCTAAATGAGGGATCCCCGGTCCCTGCCCCACAGAATCCCCTAAAAGGGGACCCCGGGTTCCGATCCCACAGAATCCCCTACAAAAGAATCCCCCTGCCCCACAGAATCCCCTAAAAAGGGACCACTTGTCCCCATAGAATCCCCTAAAAAGGGTCCCCCCGTCCCTGCCCCACAGAATCCCCTAAATAAGAAACCCCTCTGGCCCATAGAATCTCCTAAAAAAGGACCCCCTGTCCCTGCCCCATAGAATCCCCTGAAAAGGGACCCCCCTGCCCCACAGAATCCCCTACAAAGGTATTTCCCTGTCCCTGCCCCACAGAATCCCCTAAATAAGGGACCCTCCTCTTCCTGCCCCATAGAATCCACTAAAAAGGGATCCTGGTCCCGATCCTATAGATTCCCCTAAAAAGGGATCACCCTGTTCCTGCCCCATAGAATGCCCTAAATAAGGGAACCCCCTGCCCCATAGAATCCCCTAAATGAGGGACCTTCCTGTTCCTTCCCCATAGAATCCCCTACAAAGGGATCCCCCTGCCCCATAGAATCCCCTAAAAAGGGACGGTCCCTGTTCCTGCCCCATAGAATCCCCTAAATGAGAGACCTTCCTGTCCCTGCCCCACAGAATCCTATAAATTAGGGAGCCCCCCATCCCTGCCCCATAGAATCCCCTCAAAAGCGACCCCTCTGCCCCATAGAATCCCCTAAAAAGGGATCACCTGTTCCTGCCCCATAGAATCCCTTAAATGAGACCCCCCCTGCCCCATAGAATCCCCTAAATAAGGGACGGCTCTGTCCCTGCCCCATAGAATCCCATAAAAAGGGATCCCCCTGCCCCATAGAATCCCCCATAAGGGACGCCCCCCGTCCCACAGAATTCCCTGAAAAGGGACCCCAATGTCCCACAGAATCCCCTAAATAAGAGGCCCCCTGCCCCATAGAATCCCCTAAAATGGGACCCCAGTATCCCCGCCCCATAGAGAGCCCTAAATGGGACCCACCTGTCCCTGTTCCTGCCCCACAGAGAGCCCTAAACAAGAGACCCCCCCCAAATGAGACCCCAGCCCACCCTTGGGGTCTCAGCCTTTACTCTGCCCCACAACTCCCCCTATAGGGCAGACACGGGGGGGGGGCTCGGACCCTCCGGCCCCACAGAGACCCCGTGGGGGGCGGGGAAGGGTGGGGCCGCCCCCTCCCCGTCCTTTATCGGCCCCTGGGCCCCTCCCCACGGCTCCTCCCCCCCCACAGCGCCCTATAAAATCTGTGGGGCCGCGGGGCTGCCCACGGTGCTGCTGTGGGGCACGGGCAGAGCGTGAGGGGTCTGTGGGGCGGCTATGGGGTCTGTGGGGCGGCTATGGGGTCTGTGGGGTGCACAGGGGTCTGTGGGGCAGCTATGGGGTCTATGGAGCGGCTATGGGGTCTGTGGGGCGGCTATGGGGTCTGTGGGGTGCACAGGGGTCTATGGGGCGCCTATGGGGTCTATGGGGCACAGGGGTCTCTGTGGGGTGCAAAGCGGGTTGTGGGGTTCACCAGAGATTTATGGGGTGGGCGGGGGTCCCTGTGGGGCACAGGGTGGGTTGTGGGGTGCATGGGGGATCTATGGGGCGCACAGGGGATCTATGGGGTGCATGGGGGTCTCTGTGGGGCACAGCGCGGGTTGTGGGGTGCACGGGGGTTCTATGGGGTGCACTGGGTAGTTGTGGGTCACACGGGGGATCTATGGGGCACAGGGTGGGTTGTGGGGTGCATGGGGGTTCTATGGGGTGCATGGGGGTCTCTGTGGGGCACTGGGTAGTTGTGGGTCACACGGGGGATCTATGGGGCACAGGGTGGGTTGTGGGGTGCACAGGGGATCTATGGGGTGGGTGGGGGTCTCTGTGGGGCACAGGGTGGGTTGTGGGTCACACAGGGGATCTATGGGGCACAGGGTGGGTTGTGGGGTTCACCAGGGGTCTCTGTGGGGCACTGGGTGTGTTGTGGGGGGCACAGGGGTCTATGGGGTGTACGGGGGTCTGTGGGGTGGGTGAGGGTCTCTGTGGGGCCCTGGGCAGGTTGTGGGGCTCACCGGGGATCTATGGGGCACAGGGGGGGTCTGTGGATTGGGCATGGGCTCTATGGGGCACAGAGCAGGTTGTGGGTCTATGGGGTTCGTGGGTGTCTCTGTGGGGTGCAGAGCAGGTTGTGGGGTGCACAGGTGTCTGTGGGGTTCGTGGGGGTCTCTATGGGGTGGGCATGGGGCCTATGGGGCACAGGGGTCTCTGTGGGGTGCACAGGGGATCTATGGGGTGGGCGGGGTTCTATGGGGTGTGGGGTGGGATGTGGGGTGCATGGGGGATCTATAGGGCACAGGGCAGATTGTGGGTCACGCAGGGGATCTGTGGGGTGCACGGGGGTCTCTGTGGGGTCTATGGGGTCACAGGGATTTTATGGGGTGCACGTGGGGTCTATGGGG